ATCTACGTGAAGTAAACATGGAAGAAAGCACAATACTTATTGCAGCTATAACAAGAGGTGAAATTATAAACAGTATTCAGAATATAAAAAATAACACAGCTGCTGGTCTTGACAATATAATTAATGAATATATTTCAACCAGCATTGATGTATAGATATTTATATCAAACATGGTTCTCGATACTGGTACTTTTCCAGACAAATATTTAGTGGGTGTTATCAAACCAATATTTAAGAGTTAAGATGACCCACAAAACCCCGAAAATTGCAGACCTATAGCCCTGCTGAGCTGTTTGGTAAACTATGTACAGCAGTTTTAAATAACTGTTTGCGAACAATTATCGAAAGGAATTCTTTACTGTCGGAAGCTCAGGTAGGTTTCAGAAAGAGGTATTCTCCCAATGATCACATTTTAGCTCAAACAACCTCATGGAATAAATAAAAGCTAGAAATAAGAAATTATTGTGTGAGTTTGTAGATTTTCATAAAAAAGCATTTGATACAGTTTGGAGATCAGGGCTTTGGCAAAAACTATTACAAAGGAACATATCTGGAAACGTTTAAACGTTATTAATAATATGTACCAGAATATCAAATTGTGTGTTTCCTGTATTAGTAATTAAATAAATTTCATTTTATGTAATTCTGGATTAAGACAAGGAGAAAACCTGTCGCCTGTCTTGTTTGCAATATGTGTACCTGTTGGCCTCGAAGTGACACTTGTACAGGATTCATGTAAAGGTGTCTAAATGAAACCAGATGAATTTTATGATCGATTCGAAAAAACTTATCATAATATTTGTGTTACTGTACGCAGATGATGCAGTGTCATAGGACACAAAGGATATAAAACATATGGTAGACACATGTCATAGCTATTGTATACATTGGAGGCTTAAGATTAATACTACCGAAACTAAAAATGTAAATATTTGGTAAATCATAAAACGGTTATGAACATTATTTCCAAATTGGTCATGATGTTTTGGAAAAGTTGATTCCTATAACTATCTAGATGTTACCTGTCCAAAGAAATTCAAAATTCACTCCAACAAAGAAAAAGTTTTCACTTAGATGTCAACTGCGACGTTATACCATTTCTTCTCTTTGAATGCAAAGTATGGGGATTTGAAAACGTGTCACTTCAAGAAGGTGTCCATTTGCGTTTTCTGAAATATCTGTTTTCATTTATTTAAGACAAATTTCATGGTACATGGGGAACTTAAAAGACTACATCTATCTAACACGAGAATGAGAATGATAAGTTTCCTTTCCGGGACATCATCTATATTATCCTTTCGTGTATACAAATTATTAATTAATGACGACTTATTTGGAAAATGTAAACATAAATGGATTACATATATCAAATGAAACTTGGACAAACTTGGAAAAGCTTGGTTTTCACAAAGTTTCACAAATCCTACTTATCTAAAACATTTAGTCCAGAAATAGTAACTGACATTTCGTTTTTAATCTACAGTGTTGGACAAGTGCAAGAGATAAGTCTTCAAAAGACACAATGTATAGTATCATAAAAAATGATTGCCTAAATTTTGAATATCATTTAAACGTACCTAAGGAAAACGTTTGGCGAGTCTTAATTAAGTTTAGAACCTGTATCCATAATCTACCTATTGAAATTGGTAAATAGAGAAAAATACCTTTAACCGAAAGCAAATGTCCACTTTGTATGCTGTCTGAAATAGGTGATAAGTTCCATTATTTGTCCATTTTTAGAAAACGAAAGAAACCAATTTTTACACAGATTATACTTCATCGAAACCAATATGTATAAAATGAATTTACTTTTCAATATTTACATTCAAATAGTATCCATAAGCCTTCTTAAAATAAATGGGAAGCCGACACGTTTAGAAAATCTAGATTTCATTTTGAATATCTTTATTATATAGACCTGTTTGTACTTCAGAACGGAATATACTAATAGCTGAATGAATTGCTGTAGTGCGCTTTAGATGTTACGATGGTTTTCCAGTTAGCTTTTGTTTAGTGTATAGCTGGGAATATATTTGAATCCACTTCTTGTGTGTACCGATGTAGGGGTATATTTTCAGATGGTACAAGCCATTACGAGATGCATGTGAAAATATCAAACTGTATTGACAACAGTTACCAAAAGAAGAACAATTTGATAAACAATCGCACTTTATTGTCCATTTAAACATCTTGTTGATCTATTTGAACGTCCAAATGCATTTCAATGTATGTTCGATTTTAGCTGCATCTATAAGGGCTGTAAAAACATATATCAACAAATTATCAAATTATCAACATTTTCCAAACAACATTTATTGCGATATGTCTAACAGTGTACAATGAAGACTGTATAAATTCAACAAAATCAATAATAGTTCACGGTTGTACAAACACAATTACTGACAGAACCAATTCAGTTACGTCAACACAATAAACTAAAATAAATGCAGCTGGTATTTCGACTTTGCGAAAGGATTGACAAATTATGTACAGACAATTCTCAATCAGAACGTTTAGATGTGTTTATTCAAACTTTCATTAAAACACATCTGTAAGAAAAGAATGAAATGACATACCAATTATAATTATCAAAACTTTGAGGTTTTCTTCGTAAGTAGGACCGTTTAGTGCATTTTAAGAAAAGAGTATTATATGTACTGGTACTGTACCTATTGAACTAAATTTTGTCTTATCAAATTAAGAAATCCACCATAATTCCTCCTTTCACGAATGAACTCGCCACACATTAACCCAACACGATCTCGGAAATCATTGTGAAATTCATCATAAAAATACTGTGGATGTTGTTACGTAAGCTATTAGTGGACTGTACATCGCACCGACAGCTCATAATCTACGACACTGAATTACAAAAATACTTTACCAATTGGGTGAACGTGTATTTTTATTATTTTATTACAGACAAGGTTTACCCCATTTGCACCGGCTAACTCTTTCCCCATTTTAACCTTTGCATGTACATGTATTGACGTGTTAAGGTATTCATTAACAATGATTACCTTAAATGTGCATACATGTGTAAGAAATATATTCAAACGAATAAGGACAATTATATTATAATTGTATGCAACTTATTGAGACAGTGTTCAATACCAAATAGATATTTATCTACTTGGTGCATTATGTTCAATATGTATTTCTTTTAAAAATTATATCAATCAACATTTAGAAAGGCATGTGTTTTGAAGTTTACGTAAATTATTTTCCGAGGTATGCTGTCGCAAGTGTGAATTCTTTTCATCCACTCAGAGATGTGACACGGAGGTCTCAAGGTTGATGAATTGCTACTCTGTGAACACAGTGCAGAAACGGCGATAGCACCTTCGTCAAGTTGGGAGTTATCTTCTCACCACCTCGTCATTAATGTCTTCAACCTACCACTAGGAGCATACCGCTGACAGATCATCCGGCAGCTCGTCATCGACCGTCTCCAAGTCGTTTGTCTCGTACGAAATACTCATATAGGAGGTGTTGACACAATGGATAGATCTATCTTCCAGACAACACCTCCTGATTGCAATAACTGACATTGCAGATGCTCCAAACCTGCTTCTTTCGAAATTGCCCTAAGCATAATCTGTCCATGATTGTTTTTAAGATTCGAATAAGTCAGTGAAGTTGTATAAAGGATAAAACAAAACAACATTTCTTTATACAGATCACTATGTCATGCACGAAACGACACATTTTTTATAGTTCTTTGTGCTTATTATGTCGGATATACACATTGATATATATTGTCATTTGATATAAATACTAAATTGAATACAGCTTAAGAGCTAATCTGTAACATATGCAGATAGCAAATTGTTGACGATGCAGGAATAGATGTAACATAGGGGATATACATCAATACAACGACAGATGGGATATAGAGGACATACTGCCATTAATTTGCTGATGAAACAGATATGACTATGAAATACATCCATGTAGACGATACAGTACTACATAAGATACATACCCATCAACTTGTTGATGATACAGTGATAAGTGAGGTGAAATGGGGTTTAACGTCGCGTCCAAGATTATTGCGCTTATATAGCGACGCACATGCACGTCTGTGTGTGGCTGCTTGTACTAGTCCGGACTGATGCCGATATCACAGTGCTAGCCCACTAAGATGCCGCAGTTAAACATGAATACCAAACCCAGACACAATATACTGACTTGTTTTCGTCCCTTAATACCGAGCGCCAGGCAGGGTAACAACAAGTACCATCTTTAAACGTCTTTCGGTTTTACGTGGCCTTTGATCCAACCCAGGACCTTGCGCTCTCCACCACGGAGGCGGTGTGATGCAAGGATAGATGAATGTCGAGAATATACAATTATCAACTTGTTGACGATCCAAGGATAAATGTAATATAGAGAATATACATATTTCAACCTGTTGAGTTACAGTTATGGGGTACTTCGCGTGATATACCTCTACAATCATGTTGACAGATGCATATGAAATTAAATATTACAGTCACGGTAACCAGATGTACGTCTACGACGAAATGTAACTATGAATTAACGATTATGTCAGATTTTATAGTTATGAAGTATCGTTAGGAGCATGATTTGACATGCTCAGAGGAGTGATCATTCCCTCCCTTATTACACTTTTGGCAAACTTTGGGCAAAGAACGTGATCAGGTTCATAAATATGTGTTAAACTGTAAAAATCAAACGTCCGCAACCAAAGATTATTGTGTTACCATACAAATGCATAGCTTGTCCTATATCTTCAAATAAATAAACTTAGTTTTGACTTTTCCATGGCCCAAAAACTTAAATATGCTTCCTGAAAACCTCTAAGATCAAGCTTATAACACATTATCTGTCCTCTAAATTGAGTGTTATTACATGTCCACAACATGTCTAATGCGTAATATTCTCATTCATATGAATACAGGGGATAACTCTTGTAATGCTGTGCCTTTCTCATTTCTAAACATCTGAAGTTACCACAAACGACCATATAATGTGCCCTTTGCTGAAACTGCAGCGACAGATGATTTATACTGGATGTACATCATTCTTGTATCGGGGTACAATGATAGTCGTTGTCTAAAGCAACATGATCATAATAACACATGTAATAGTGCATGCATAACAGGCGATCCCACAGATTGTAATGTAAACCCACACAGGAATTGTCGGAGTTTATTACTCCCAAAAGATTATACAAGGTACAGACACTGATCAGGCGTAATGACTTTGCAGTTGTCATAAAGACCCCCCTGAACGTCTAAATAAAAGCGACAAAGCCCTTTCCATATTCACCAGAAATCTCTGTTAAAGGCAGAGTCAGTTGTGTGAATGTACGACTTTAACATGAGCATGTGTTTAATGAATCTCTATCAAATAATGATGACATCAGGTGTTCTCGAAAAGTTAAGCATACCCTGCCCCACCGGTGACATCCGTCACAAACGCATAAAAAGCAAGTCAATTGTTCACCTGAAAAAAACACACGAAAACATTGGGTACAAGTCAAAATAGGGAATTGCATCGGACATCATAGCTAACCCAATTTTAATACACATTATGCAACAATTCCTCGTTACCATTCGGTTTGTCATGAGGAATACTTTGTGGTCACAGGTATTGCTATTTGAGCGTTATGACAATGCTAAACGACCTAATAAGTAGGTCTTGACCACCTGACGTGACAAATGCCTGATATGTGTATTATGGGGAATATATGTCAGTTTTAAATGTACATGTGTAATTATTTCAGTCTGATACATACATGGGGAATAGATTTCAGTCCGATATGTACTTGGGATATAGAGTCCAGTCTGAAATGTGCTCTCCAGCTCCACGCAAAGCTTCATTTCGATTTGTTCAAGTTGGTGAGTTAACTGAGGTCAACCCCGTTTTGAACATTATTTCAGTTAAATCACGGATCAGGCGTAATGTAGGAGAGATGCCCCAATTGTTGAACATATGAGATGTTCAATACTTCGGACAAGACGTTCAGACAGGACAAGCACCATGACCAACTTGAATCTGGGAGTCACGTCCACAATCAAGAGAACTGACCCACCCCGTGTCTTTGTGTATTCCATTTGAACGTAAGATTTATTTAAGACAGATAGCATCTAAAACTTTAGGCAACAAGTTATTTCAAAACTTCGTTAGATGCAATATTTTATGATACAGTTTGGTAATTCGAAATATATAAAAAAGAACAGATATTGTTGCTTATCGCTGCGGATAAAACATGCAAAATGATAAAACATTTCACTCTTTCCTCGTCGTTTCACTTCGTACTTTTGGGCACGGGTGGCCAAGGCTTCTTTGACGTCGCAGTGTGCTGTGCAGAGTTGCGTCCATTGGCACGACTGAAACCAATGACCATGGGTTAGAATCCCGGTTCGACCCGATTATGTTTCAAGGTTTGCCATCACCATACACGAGCTGAGACCTGCATCACTTCGGGCTTTCCTCCAACATTAAGCTGACACGCCGTGATATAACGCGAATAATGTTCATAGCGGCGTTAAAACCAACTCACTCACTCATGTTGTAGTTGTGTGGTATTTCTTGGAGTTGTTGTTCCCGCTCTCCCTCGCAAAGCCATTCATGGATGTTTGAGTCGTGTATATCGACGTATTGGATATATTGGAGTTGGCTGTACGCATGATGCTTGTAAACGGCTTGCGGCCGGATGTCTGGCAGCACAAGGTGTCAGTAAATCGCCGTCTGAAGCGCCGGGCTGTGAGAAAGTACAAGTAAAAGTTGATCGCATGATTGAAATCCGAGAGCAGAAATATCAACTGGCTAACAAGGTAATTGACCGCCTGACCATGACTTCCAGATTCAAAAACCCAGTAAGGTTTGACGATGAAGAAGAGACAGTTTGGTAACACTAGCACCACGAACACAATCGAGACGACGATGAGCATTATTGTTATCTGGCGTTGTTGGCGATACTTCTCAGCCATCTGGTCACTTTTGTTGTTTGTCAGGTCCTTCTGGATTTTCCGAGACTTCCTGATACCAAGGATGATGAGTCCATTGAACATGACGAGCAGGATGCAGGGTATGATAGCGTACAGACAGCCATCTATCCAGTACCAGATTTTCTCAATAAATTCCATGTGTTCTTTATTAAAAGTACAACGGACATCCTTGTTGCCCGTCACCTCAACTGTAGCTGTCCACAGGAAATGGAGATCCGCGCCGATGATGACGAATGCTATGATGATCATCAAGAGGATGGATTTGGTGCCGGTACACAGAGTCGTGACTCGCAGAGGGAACCAGATGGCTATGAAGCGCTCTACAGACATCGCTACCAGAATCCAGTTGGCGTACATGATGAAGAATGAACCAAAGAAGTACAACGCCTGACAACTACCTGCTCCCATTTGAACATCATAGAGCGTCAGTTGATGAAATAACAGTTTACATATAATACCAAGGTTGTCCATCACCGCCAGCGCAGCAACATATCCTGTTGATGACGTGAGAGGAGGCATGCGCAAAACAGTCACGAAGCTTGCGATGTTCCCTGGGAATCCAACCGCAAACACCACCCACAGATAGTACAGGTTGATGTAGTATCCAGCCCAGAACTCCCCGTACTGCTCGATGGGCCCAAACCTACCCCAGGGACTCGGTGTGGTGGTGCCTAGCTCTGCTGTGACGTTCATGTCTGTCACATTGTTGTCGTCATAACGAGACGCTGTCACATTATACACGCCCGCCACGCTGGGTTCACTTGACGTCATTTTACAAGAGGTTAGGTGTCCAGATCACCTGAAAGAAAGTCAAAGGGATGGTTACTCTTGGATAATACAAATATCTATGTTCGCATCCTACGATATATAATAATAAAAACGGATAAATATAAAACGTCAATGCTAGAATATATCAAACTCGATTATCCGCCGAAGCAGATTCCACTATAGGTAGATGGCAAAATAGTGTTGAAAATTATATTAACGTGTCATTGAAAATCAGCGATGACACCAGGTGTTAGCGAAAGGCGTAAGCATGTCAAACTCTGTCAGCTCAGCCGATAACACCAGCCACTCACACAATTTGCATTGAAAAGGCATGTGATGCCAAAACAATGCCAACCACCACTCACTCAAATTCAGCCGCCGCGAACGTATACCATGGACAAGGCTAATCGTTACATTGCCTCCATTTCCTTCACAGGAAGCAACTGTACGACCTTTCAGAGAGGTGTGTTATGGTTCTGTTACACTATCGCTATTTCATAGGGGGTTCCAGTAGCCTGGTTAATGGAACATGCTTTAATCATTTCGTGTATTTTCGAGCATATGATAGTTAGATGATGATATCTCACGGTTGGTGTTTGTTTTGGGTAATAACATCGGAGCTGCGCCGTGCCCAGCTAATAACGTTGTCCTGTTTTCATGGTGAAATAAATGGCCAAGAAAGCAAAGCCTGGCCGATCGTTTCATTTCCGATGGTCTATATGTAGACCTGTTCTACAGTGCGTCTGCATATCAACCAATATTCCTTAATGTTCAGTTATTTTAGTATCCAAATCAAAGGTTCACTTTGAACGTTCGGGTCACAGAGCTTTTGTCAATGTTTGGTTAGTGTATTAAATGTGTTACCATTACGACTGTAAAAGTAAGAATGCTCAAAGAAGACATCATTGACGTTAAATAGGAACTGTACACAAAAACTGAAATGAATAATATTTACTATTCTTTTATGTTGTATGTTTAATTAACTTTACTTTGCACATCCACGTTGACGTCTTTATGAGGAAGTCTAGTTCCTAAGAGCCACTATTAAACTGTTTCATGAATAATAAAATCATAACATGAGTTATCGGCATTAAAAATCATGACATTCGTGCCAAAAACGTTTTGATCTGTCTATTGTAATCGCGGCTGCGGCTACAAGCACGCTCGTTAAGGTGGCACAGGTGGGTTGAGTTAAAATGAGGTGTACTCTCGGGCTCAAGAATATTTCACCAACGTACTAAAAAGCATGAACCTGTGTCTATGTCTGCTTGTGCTGATCCTGACTTTGTCGTGCTAATCCACTTTGATACCAGGCCGCAGTCCTACCTGAGTCGTCCTTTCTTATAGACAGACATGTCCCTTTAACACTAGCCACGAATGGCATCTGGCTAGTACATAGTTTGATATATCAGGACTTATACCCGTAATGCCGAGAGCCAATCAGGGTACTAACAAGTGCCATCCTTTAACGGCATCTTGGCCAGGGAATCGAACCAGCTACTTCCGCACTCCTGGCAGACTTTCTATCAACTACATCAATGAGGCATTAATAAATACAGGTGCTACAGAAGTGAGAATCCATTTTTAATTCTGTGCAAAACGGTTAAATAAGAATGGGGTTCAGATTCAATTCGTGTGCACTTCAGGTCTGCGACCGACACTAAATCAACGTGCTCACCCAGATCGGCCGTCGTTACAAACTCAACATCACCTGGGAGAGGCGTCCCTCTGTTTTACTTCCACATGTTATTTTGGAGTGAGTGAGTGAGTTGGGTTAAACGCCGCTTTTAACAATATTCCAGTTATATCACGGCGTGTAAGCTTAATGTGGGAGGAAAGCCCGAAGTGATGCAGGTCTCAGACGTTTACCACTTCGGTGAAACCCACGAGCACGGGTATGGTGCTGACAAACCTAGAAACATAATCGGGGCGAACCGGGATTCGAACCCACAATCATAGGTTTCTGGAGTGCCTAAGGGACGCAACTCTGCACAGAGAATCGCGGCGCCTTAGACGACTGGGCCACCCGTGCCCCCTGTTATTTTGGAAAATGTGAACACTAACACGAGCTGCTGAGATTTGATAGTCACATATTTTATTTCTGTACTGGATAAGTCACCCGACACAAAACGTCAATAATGCCCCCCAATTACAGGCAAACGAAAATGCAACCAAAATGTGACAAAAGGTAATAATTCGTTAGGAAAAAACCATAAGCTGGAAAAGTAGATGAGTTTCATGAATCTGGACAAACATTGATGACAAAGAAAAATATCTCTCTGACTTTGTGCATTATTGGATACAGGGACTGTATCGAGTATTGTGGTATTTCTTGAGGCGTTCTTTTATTTGGCACGACGGCGGAAAAATATGACATCACACACTTGACACCAAATGGGGATATACCATGGTGCTTTTCATCTTGATCTAAGTCTTTATACATGAAATACGTCACGTTAATGCAGATATCATTATCATTATAGACGTTGTATCTGTATGTTATATCCACCAATTATATATCAATTATATATCAATAAAGTGTAAGTTAGTTTAATGTGTGTGTAGACTTCCCATTTAAAGCTATGGGTTTTATTCGAAATGAAGGATCGTTCCGCTCTGCCATTGATCGCGTCAAAGATTGTTATGGCACTCATTTTAAACATCTTAAACATGACACAACTGTAAAGAGCTACTGCATCACATGCATGGGATGCTGTATTCATGAGTATCACGTGACTACAGTTATTGGCATGTCGTGACGGAATATTTCTGAGCGCGGCGTTAGGCAACAGACAATTAAACAAACCACATGGGAGTTGTGCAGTACACATTCTTGAAAAGAACCTTGATTTAAAGGGAAGAATAACATACTGATATGCAGGAGTAAAGAGTTCCACAACTTTGGTGCAGAACAGGAATAATGATGGGGAAAAAACAGACATTAATTTGAAATTTGAAGTACGTGGTAGATCTGAGGCTTCGTACATCAGATATGATGGCGCTGTTCTATGGCAACAGCGATAGGCCATAGGCAGTGAAACAATAGCTTGTCCAGGAAGGGGAACAGGCTTATTGCATAATAATCTGTTTGTTAATGCCGGGTATATTCCAGGAAGAATTTAAATGTAACTGTCATGATTGTTGAGGAAATTTCCACAAAATGAAATACATTCTTGCAAGTGATTCCATGACATTTGATCGGCTAATCAAGAAATTTGTTTTTGCGTTTATGTCTTCATGAACCTAACAATAAGTGACTTGGCCGCACCCCAAGATGAATACTGTTTCATGATTGGCTGATAATATAGTGGGCTGGGCTAATGTCACTGATTTCGTGTCGTTGTCTACAGTTTTTGCGAATTATGATTAAATAAGCAAGTTATTACTATTGACTTATTGTGATCTATTTATGATAATAGACTTCAATACAGTTTTGAGATTATGGTGGCACGAACATAAAAATCATGTACACACCAGCATGTACGTTGATATCTCAATAAACGCAACAGAGAGTTTAAAAGCCATCTCTTAGGAAACATTATAACGCATAATAAAAACTCCGTTCATAAAGTTCATACAAATAGCATGCGTGATGAACAGGTCATGTTTCCGACAACGATGACGGTTGATGGGGCTTAATAACGGCTATCACCAACAGTAACCAGTTACACAACATCAAAGCACGCGCTAAGCGAAGTCCGCGTTTACGAGGTAATGACTCTCTGAATTAGGCATCAACACCTCGTTTCACTGCAGATTATGTCCAAGGGCAAGTAACCCGACATCATCTACTGCTAAGCCATCTTTCATTCCAACCGTCCTCTTCCGGATAACGTTTGTATCCATCCAGGAGGGTCATCGACTGGTCAATATAGTGTTCTATTTCCACCTTTCCATTATTTCTAGGCACATACCCGAATTATACTCAGGCGCTTCATATCCCTTCGTACACGAAGGCAAGTTTGGGCATTGAGTTCAGATAAGTGTTTGTATTACAATAGGTGTTAGGAGAAGAACTTGTTAAAATAGGGCTTTCTTTACCCATCGGAACTAGAACCAATTTGTTTAAATTATTTCCTTACAGTATTTTGATGGTCTAGAATTGATACTCCACAAGACCAGGCCAATAACATCTCGCCGAGATTATATTACAGGGATGACAATGATACTAATAGATATATGTTGATGTAAGGATGTTGTTTATAACGAGTCGAATGTATGTATGTACAGACTGTTCCCACGTCACCAATTATCATATATGTAACCTCCCACACATATGCACCACGTATGAAACACAACACTATGTACCTGTATACACACAACGACCGACTGCTATAGCTAGTTTAACACTGATGTAAATAAAGTGACAAAACACTTTCCATATCCAATAGAAATCTTTGCACAAAGCACAGCCGATTGTACGATTCCGGCTGTATTATGAGCATGTATTTATGAATCACTATCAAATAATAATAATACCAGGTGTTCGCTAAAAGGTGAGCCTACCCTGCCCCAACGATTGCACTCGTCATAAACACATGCAAAGGCAAGTCAATTGTTCACCTGAAAAATCACGGGAACATATGGTACAAGATTGGTCAAAATAGAGAAATGCATCGGATATAAAACAGATAACAACTGACTGTGGTGGCAACTGTCAAAGTATTGATTGTAGGACATCAGATTAAACTCCTCTGCCAGATAATGTGACTGTGATTGGAACATAATGAACATTTAACCCTCGGGGTAGACACTGAATCTTGTGTATTACGAGTTTCACACAAACAGAAGCGGGAGCATCCCCCAGGCTGCAAGCGTCTTCAGTATCCTTCTTATTCAATATTTATGACATAAAATTCCAACGAGGTCATTAATTGATTGTCAGCTCCGTGTAAGCCGATTCATTTATATTTCAAATAGGAAAACAGAATCTTCTGGGTCTTAATAAGACTTAGAACTACTTGGAATCAATTTGATTGTTTAGAACATTCATATGAGATATGAGGATGAGGCATTTTTTAAGTTACATCA